ATTAAACTTGAAAACAAAGCACTGTAGGTAATTTATCTTTCTTTATAGACAGATGTGAAATACTCAGACCATAAGTGATTAAGTATATGTGCATATTAATGAAATACTTTCAATCAATGCTAAGGGCAGGTGTCATTTAATAGTGAACCAACACCAAGTAAATGACATTTTGATGTCGTGGTGGAAATGACATTTCACAAACCCATGTCTCAGCACGGATATTTATATATGTAGTTCTGTTCTCCCAGTGATTTTAGGCAGTTTAATTTATTCAAAAACACAATCTCATGTTTACTTTCAATAATTTTTATAAGGCAGTAGAGTACATTTTCTTCTGAAATCATATTTTTATTGGAATTGGCTCTGTAAACTAATGAGTAAATACAAGCAGGTACATGGATAAGATAGATTTTATATTCTTTAATTTTTTTTTTCCTTTAGGAAAAGCAATGTAGCCTTCTTTCTGTACTTGTGCTTTGAACCTTTTGGGACTGATACAGATCCACTGAGGCCAAGCCTAGAATTAAATCATCGTTATTGTTAAAAGTTAACTGACAGGGTTAAGTACAAAAAGTCATTACTAACGAAGGGCTGAAAGCGTAATACATATAATTGTGGAATTGCTGCGATCCACATCACTGTTTAGGGTTGGGGGTTTTAACCGGAATGGATTCTTGCACTTTACCAAGCAAGCTATGATAAACAAGATGTACTGATTTCAACTATGATTTTTAAACTACTACAACGTGGTTCAGTGTAGCTAATGTTACACTTGTATCATAAGACTTGGGTTCCTGTTCTTTCTTCAAAGTCATCAGAACAACAGGGAATGAAGAGACTTCTGAACAACTGCCAGCGCTTGCTGCTGCTGTTGCAGGGAAGGAAATATTAAACATTCGCGTGTCATTTAGGTAATTGTGACATACAGTTTGGCCAACAAAATGCCCCAATGCCCACATCCCTCCTTAGTTCTTAATATTAAATATACACCACTCACAGCTTCCATCATAATTTTGTTTTGCAGCTTGGTCATGTCTTCCCTAACTTCGCTTTGTTCATCAGTAAGAAGATGTTCATGGGCCTTCTCTAAGTCCTGCATACTCTAAAACAAAAAGCCTAGTTCAGTTACAAACCACCACTTTTCATCTCATGCTCCAAACATGTAAAATTAAAAATTTCAAGGGGCGCCTGGGTGGCTCAGTCAGTTAAGCGTCTGCCTTCGGCTCAGGTCATGATCTCGGGGTCCTGGGATCGAGCCCCCACGTCGAGCTCCCTGCTCGGCGGGGAGTCTGCTTCTCCATCTCCCTCTGCCCCTCCCCCTGCTCATGGGCGCTCTCTCTCTCTCTCTCTCTCTCTCTCTCCCCCCCCAAAAATAAATAAAATCTTTTAAAAAATTAAATTTCAAAAGTAACGATTCTTAATATTCAAAGGATGCTCGTTATTTATTCCAAATAAAATATTAGACCTAATACATGGAGATCAAAATACCCACTTAGGAAATTTTTTAAATGTTGTGTTTGAGTCAAATATTATTATTATTATAGAGGCATGACAGTAGTACGCTTTGCTCGAAACAATGGGTTAATAAACAGTTAAGGTCAAGGTGGAGGGGAAAAAAAAGACTGGCAGTCCCACAGAATGAAATACCATGATTTTAAATCTCTCTAATAAGCTTTCTAAATACCATGTAGCACTGCACTTATAATGAGTAAAAATCAATGTAACATGATTCCATTGGAGGGAATAAAATGATCTGTAACACGACCTCTTTAAGTTATGAAAAACAAACGTGTTCTAAATCCTTACTGTTCACTTAACAAATAGTGATCTAGCCCATACTACGTAAGAAGTACTGTTAAGTGCTGCGGAGGAATTTGGGAAATGAATGCACGATCTCTTCCTTCCTTATTCCAGTGAGAATAAAAAGACATGTAAATAAAAACAACACAAAAACTTTGTAACAATTAAGGAAACACAACTTGCCATGACTGTGTACTGGAAAATAAGATTGATTCTGATTTAGCTGGCAAAAGAGTAAGATTTCAGTAGGTAAAGGGAAGAGGGAATTGAAAGTACCCTAGAAACAAGGAAGTAATGGTGAGTTAGTGTACTGGAGGGGTGGGAGGAAAGGAGGAATGTAAGTATAAAACTACAAAGGGAGTCTTGTTACAGGGCAGACGTTGAATACCCGAGTGTTTAAGTGGGAAGCTAATGGCAGGTTTTCAGGAGGGAAGGTATACGTTTTGGAACATCATATTGCAGAACTGGGAAGGATGGACCGGAGGAGAGAGAACTCAGATGAGAGTTTAATAGTATAAGCAGGGAATGATGAGATCCTGAACTCGGGGCAGTGGCAGTGGGAATTCAAAGAAAGATATTAAGGTACAGCTGCAGAGGTAAAGTACACCTCCCACTCCCCTCCGCCGCCCCTCCCTCCCCGCCCACATACACACACCAAGAAAAAAGAAGGGGAATGTGCAGGCTTCCACTGCCTCCTAAACAAGTATATATCTGCACGAAGAAGAGGTCTGTGTCACTGAGGACAATTTGCTAATGTGCAAATATCCCAGCAGATCATTCTCAACTCACAAACGTTTAGTCCTCCTCTGGCTTTTTCATTCTGTTATACATTTAGACCTTTTCTTATGATTTTAAGTATGCATATAAAGTCATTATTAGTCTAATATTCCAAAAGCAAATATGCCATAAAACACTCATGTAACGCATTTGAATATAGAAGTGCTATTCATCAATTACAACTGCCTACTCATATTTAACAGAAACCGTTAACGCAAGTAAAAGACACGTAGAAGTGATTTATAGACTTCCTAGTTTCCACTATGAATTTATTGCCGATCTCCTCAAAACTGATTGTTGAACAAAAAATTATGATTAAAGTGTTAATAAAGTACCAGTTTTCTTCACAATACATGTATTTCTAGGTAAAATTCCCTCTTTACAGTTCCCTGTTTTAGATGACTCCCACAAAACTATTAATTAATTCTAAAAATAAAAATGCATGTACCAATTACGTTAAATCCCAAACGATGAATTCCAAATGGACAATGTTTAACAATTTAGATGTATAACCTAAATGGTTCCCCCTTCCCCAAAGATTTGGAAAGAAACAGTCTTCTACTTTTACATACATTTTATGTATATATTTTAAAATATTTACTTACTTATGAGAGAGAGAGAGAGAGAGAGCATGTGCACATGCAAGTGGGAGGAGGGGCAGAAGGAGAGAATCTTCAAGCAGACTCCCCGCTAAGCAGGAGGCACGAGGCGGGGCTCGATCCCACAACCCATGAGATCAGGACCCACGACCTGAGCCAAAACCAGCAGTCGGTTGCTCAACTGACTGAGCCACCCAGGCGCGCCTACATATTATGTTTTATAAGAATGTATTGTGTTGCCAAATACAACAGACCTTTAAGAATTGCTCATGTAAGTTTTTAATTTTTTGCAGTCTCTGGTTCTGAACAGCTCTAGCTTGTTGAAGAATCTTTCGTTGCTCTCGGAACATATCCTACAAATATAAAAGAAAAGGGTGATAAAATGTGGGTAACATTTAATATTTAGAAAACATAATTATACATCAAGTTTGAAAGGAATATTCTTTAAATCGATACTTGTTAACATTTCCTGTTTTAACAACTTTTGTGACCAAGTTTATTCACCACTAATATACAGAAACAATACGATGATCCTACCTAGTAGCCATTAAGTAGGAAATTGTCTTTCTCACCAATACTGAAAACATGTTTTAATTTTTGACTTCAAAATCCACAAATGACCCTTCCAAAAATGTGTTTACCACAAGTAGGCAAAAATCTATACACTAATCCTTCCTAACAGTAGTTTCAGAAGAGATATTCTTTCTTTCTTTCTTTCTTTCTTTCTTTCTTTCTTTCTTTCTTTCTTTCTTTCTTTCTTTCTTTCTTTCTTTCTTTCTTTCTTTCTTTCTTCTTTCTTTCTTTCTTTCTTTCTTTCTTTCTTTCTTTCTTTCTTTCTTTTTTAAGATTTTATTTATTATCAGACAGAGACAGAGACAGAGAGCGCACAAGCAGGGGGAGGGGCAGAGGCAGAGGGAGAAGCAGGCTTCCTGCTGAGCAAGGAGCCCGATGTGGGCCTTGATCCCAGGACCCTGGGATCATGACCTGAGCCGAAGGCAGACGCTTAGCCGACTGAGCCACCCAGACGTCCCAGAGATATTCTTTCTTAACAACATTCGAAACATGTATTAATTCTTGGTCATTTCAGTATGCATACAGATGATCCTAGCCTCTCTGTTCCTTGACCTAATCTCCAGCAATAATTTTGTCCTCTTCCCTACTTTAGTCACTCACTTACATAGTCACACCCTGGATTCTGTCATTCCCAATAACTGCAACATCGACATAATATTAAGTAGAGCAGAGACTTATATAGGAACTGTGTGTCAGGTACTGTTCTGAGCCATTTTAAATAAACTTATTATATATGATCTCATTTAATTCTCAAAACAACTCTATGAGGCAAGTACTCTTACTATGTCTCGTCTCCTTTCATAGGTGAGGAAACTGAGTGAGGTACAGAGATAAACAATTTGTCCCTGATTTCACAGCTAGTGCTGGTCAACCAGGATCGGAGCCCCCCAAAATGGTTCCAGAGTCCAGGCTCTTGAGCACTGTGCTATACTGTTTGTCCCCTTCCCCCCGCCCCCGACATTCAACCTCTACCTCCCTGTTTGTAGCTCTCTACCCTTTTTACTACAGTTCAATGCTCTTTCAGGATTAACATCCCATCGATCCTGCGACTTTTCATGGTCCCCAGTCCCCACTCTCATATTCTCCCTTTTCCTCCTTCTTGGCTTAAATTCCACGGCCAATCATTACGCCTATGTGCTTGCACGTGTACCTTGCCCCCTTTTCGCTCTGTTGATCTGCGTGGCTAAACCGCAACCCTGGAAAATCCAACTCTCCAGCTGCTCTGCCACAACCATGCAGAGGGGGGTCTCACCTTAAATTCATGATCACTATGACACTAACCTCAATTAGACCCATAATGCTGCTTGGCAATGATATTTCCCTAGTCCATTCGCTGGCCCGCTCTCAGGAAACACTTCCAGGACTTCTTCTCTGCCCCTCAAAGGCAACACCTCCTCCACCACTCTAACTCTTAACTGGTGACCTTCCTATATCACTAAGTAGACTGAGGCAATCCAAATAGAACATTCAGTCTCCCACCGCTACATCTTCCACCCATCTTTACCCATCTGGGCTCACGGACTCTACATTCTCTGCTCTGTTTTTGCATGGCCTACTGCCACTTGAGACTTTGATACAATAAATAAATCAATTTTAAAGCCAAGGCTGATACCAACAGCTAGTTTTTCTTCTTGTTCCCGGGCTTTCCGCATGTCTGTATCCCACGCCCGATACAAAGTCAGAAACTGCTGAGAATATTTGAGATGAAGATTCTGCCTGTAAAACACAATAATGAGCACCGTCACACCTCATAAAGATACGGAAAAATTAACCATATTCAAAACAAAATTGATTTGACACAATTTACACCATAAAAGGAGACGGCAGTAACAGCGTAATAGCAGCTGAAATAGTCTCCTGAGAAACAGAAAGGCTACACGAACAATTTACTCTTATTCCAAAAGTATCGTCCCTGACTGACCAACATATAAGCTATCTCACATGCCTTACCTCTTAAAAACTAGTGAGGATTTACTGTACTATCAATTTTCCAGAAAAATTCATTTTATCTAAAAGCAGTTTACTTTCCATTTCTTCTTACTGAAGAACATGTATGTTCTGATATGATAAGTAGATTCAATAAGGATATCATATCCATTTATCATAGAAGGTTTCCAAACAGGAATATTTCACTTAAATATTTCCCCTCATTGGCACAACAATGGTTTTTAAGAAAGAACCGTGAACACAATTTACTAAAATATGCAAATTATTTATAACATAAGATCAACCTTTTCTACATAACTGAATACAGTTAACTATCACAAGAACAATGGTTTAAGACATTTACCTGAAGTTCAGCTAGTGTAGGCCTAGAATAAATACGAATTAATGTTATAGGAAGAAAACTCAATTGTTATTTGAAAGGGAAAAAAAGGTCATCTTTATTGGCTTCCGGGAGATACATCTCAATTCTGTTAAGGAGTGAGGTTAACAGAATTTATCTGCTTAGAAGAAAATCAAGCAAAATCTATTTTTTTCGCTGGAAAATTCAATATAATAGAATTTGCCTTAGGTTATTCGCACCAACGAATACTAAGAAATGATACAAATGTCATCGTGACTTAAAAACAAAACAAAACAACAAAACCCAACAACTTCACCTTTGTTCTTGCTGTATGTTCCAAACATGCTCAATTTTTTCGTTAGTGGTTTTGACAAGAGCTTTGGCATTCACTTCGAACATTTTTCTCTTTGCAAGAAGAGCCTGCTTAATGTCAACTGTATAGAAAGTATTCATTGAAATTTAGTGTTGAAAATTATTTTGTTTTCATATATACGAGTCAATATGTGTAAATGTTGTCTCAGCAATATGCAAAGACATTTAAAATTTATAATACAGACATCATAAATGTCCAATCACTATGTCGTATACCTGGGACTAATATAATACTGTACACCAATTACACTTTAAAAAATAAAATAAGTAAAATAAAAATTATAACACAGGCATCATTTCAAAAAGCAAGATTTGCTCACTATTTTCTGTAAAATCTTTCTGGTACTAGTATCCCAGTTATAATTTTTCTAACTGCAGGTCACCTTTTAGCTTAGAGATAATGAAAAGGGGATAGTAATCAAAATATTTTCCATTATCAAAATGCGTACAGGGAACCCCAAGGACAGACTTTAACTTCCTTGTGAGAAAACAGCTAAAAGGCAAATTTCTCTAAATGTATAAAATATCCTCCAATTCAAGGGACATGTTTAGGTGGATTACCATTAGAATGCATTATATATGCTAAGTGAAGTAAGTCGAGCAGAGAAAGTCAATTATCATATGGTTTCACTGATTTGTGGGACATAAGGAATAACACGGAGGACATTAGGAGAAGGAAGGGAAAGATGAAGGGGGTGGGAATCGGAGGCGGAGACGAACCATGAGTCAGTCCATAGACTCCGAGAAACAAACTGAGGGTTCTAGAGGGGAGGGGTGTGGGGGGATGGGTTAGCCCGGTGATGGGTATTAAGGAGGGCACGTACTGCATGGAGCACCGGGTGTTATACGAAAACAACGAATCGTGGATCACTACATCAAAAACTAATGATGTACTGTACGGTGACTAACGTAACATAATAAAATTAAATTAAATTTAAAGGAAGAATGCATTATATAGAACGCGCAAAAGTGTTTTCTTAAAAATGATCCTCAAAAGGATAAAAATAATTATATCGCACATTAAAAAAAATTATTTTTCAAGCGATCTAGTGCGTGATGCTTTTAACTGTGTTTTACTAAAAGAGACAAGGGCTGCGGGTGTAAAAATTCTAATTTAAATAAATGAATTCAGAAACATTTTAAAAATATTTTCATGGAGCTTTTTACATAACACTTTTATCCATAAGTGCTGCATCTCACAGAATCTTAATACTTCAAATAAAGCTTTGCAAATCATATGATTTGACTTTGTGGATCTACAATCAATACTTATTTTTCGGTAGTCATGAAGGATCTGCACTATAATAACAATATTTTATACATCCGGAATCCATCTATAGTAAGAAGTTTGTCAGACAGCTCACAAAGCAAGCACTTTGTCACCACCAAATAGAGCAAAGCCTTCAAAACGTACTTGCTTGTAAGGATGATCTCTATCGAAGAGCCGTAAATTGACTTGGACCCCGCTAAGGGTCCTGTCCTGTAGTGCAGATGGTGTAACTGACATCTGAGCAGACAACATGAAACTCAGGAGTTTGGATATGATTATGTATTTCTCACTAGCTAGGAGAGTTCTTTAGTTTGCAGCTACACGGTTTGCTAATGGAAAGTAACAATAAAGAGTGTTTTGTTTGTTTGTTTTTTGGAGGATTCAATCTGTGCTGCTGCCCCACAGAGCAGGACACTGGAAAGTTATGAGAAGTAACTGAATTAAGGAAATTTAAAATTGACATTAAAAATGGATAGATCACCTAATCTGTGCACACAAAAGGAGGCTCAAACTTTTCTCTGTTTAATTTTTTTTTTAAAGATTTTATTTATTTATTTGAGAGAGAATGAGATAGAGAAAGAGAGCACATGAGAGGGGGGAGGGTCAGAGGGAGAAGCAGACTCCCCGCCGAGCAGGGAGCCCGATGCGGGACTCGATCCCGGGACTCCAGGATCATGACCCGAGCCGGAGGCAGTCGCTCAACCGACTGAGCCACCCAGGCGCCCTTCTCTGCTTAATTTATATTAATTTATATTACATGCACATGTGTGTAAAAATAATGGCATCATTCTTACCTCATCAAGGTTAGTACCATTTTTACTTTTCCACATCAATGGAAAAGGTCAGTAAAGAAACTTGCAAAGTTGAATCACACTAAATACCTGTGTAATATCCCACATACGAGAACAAGGCATTAAAATCAGTGTTGCAGACCACTCACTAACATTTCCATTCATAAAAGCTGTATGGTTTAAAACCATTTTTTTTTCCACCGCCAACATCACTTAAGCATACCTCCAAGTCCTTGCAGCATCTTCTGTATTTCATTCCTGTGAAGACGTTGCATCAAACATTATTAAGGATAAACAAAGATCATGTTTGTTTTGGAAAAAATGTCTCATTCTAGGATTTTACAGAGAATAATTGTTATGTAAGCCAAGTTGACTTGATCTGGTGAGTGAAAATACTATGAACACATTACCCCACATCTTCCTCAAACGTTACTGCAGAAGGCCTTCTTCCCCCGTAGTATTCAGTTAGTGGACTGTTTCCTGCGTTGAAATAAAAGCGGAAAACATTTTAAAACGAAGTATGGTGGTGGGCACTAAGGAGGGCACGTGATGATGTGATGAGCACCGGGTGTTATACGCAGCTAAGGAATCACCGAACGTTCTGTCGCAAACTAACGATGCACTACATGTCGGCTAACTGCATTTAACTCTGAAACAGTAAAATGAAGTATGGCATTTTGATCCGTTTTCAGGGAGCAATACCTTCCCCGTGGAGTTTTTTAGGGCTCCGTCTCGCAAACAAAAGTTTTCTTAAGGCAGGCCCAGGAAAGGGAGCATGCGTGTGCAAGGCCAGACGACACTAGATCAGGGACCAGGACCATGCGACGGAGACGGTGTTACAGGCCCTTCCAGGTTAATGCCAGAGTACATCACCCAGCCGGCGCGAGGTATTTGGGAAAGAAGGACTGCGGGGGAGCAGAAGAGCTGCGATCTAAGCCTCGGGAATCCTGGTTTGGGACAGGAGGATCAAGTGGGCCACCTCTGGTACCTGGAACTGCTTTACACACACACACACACACACACACACACACACACACCACACGCAGAGACAGACAGACACACAGAGAGACAGAACAGACACCCCCCCCCACACACACACCACACACAGAGACAGACTGACAGACACACAGAGACCGAGACAGACAGACAGACACACACACACGAGGATTTTACTGTTTACAACGCCGAGGACTCCGAAGCGGTGGCCTGCCCCGCGTGCGTCATCAGCAAGCGCTGTATCTGCAAAAGGTGTCGGATAGGCAGTACCTTCAGCCTCCGGCCCCCTCAGCTCTCTTCTCTCTTGTCCCCCAGAGTCACGGGCTGCCGTACCCTGAGCCACCACCGGGGCCTTCGCGGCTCTGCCCAGGCGCTTCCTGCCAGCCGGCGCCATCCCGAGGAGGTGCCTTCTGAGCTCTCCTGCACGCTGTGGGCACAGACACGCGTTAAGGAAACGGGGGGACCCGGTCAGTGAGCGAGGCCAGGCAAGGGTCCTCTGCGCGGATCGGAGAGTGTGTGTGTCCTCGTGTCTCTTGCTGGACCAGGAGGGGACAAAGACGATGGGGACGGTGGACCCCTCCCTCCCCCCGCCCCCCGGCTCCGACCGAGCGCATGCGACCAGCCCCGGGACATCTGAGTGCCAGGACCTTCCGCCACACTCTGTCGCCCTACGCTGGGACAGAGGCCGTCCCCACCCCGAGGCCCCCGCGGGACAACGTGCTGGTCTGGAGGCCCAACCGTGGCCGGGACTAACGTCAAGTGTCCCCCTCCGCATGGACGGGGAATAAACCGTTCTGCACCTGTCCGGACCTGTCCGGGGACCGTCGGGTCTAGGGCGGCTCCTCGACACGCCATCTGGACCCCAGGACGGCCTCCGGGGACCAAACCGCCCTGCCGGGGGGCCGGGCAGGAGGGACAGACGCAGACGGACCCTCCTCACCAGGTGTGGCCCTCCCAGGAAGTGGGGACCGTCGGACCCGCTGCCTGCCCTGCCGGCCCCGCCCTCGGGGGCCTCGTCGTGTCCTGCCGGAGCCCCCGAGGACCCCGCGGGGACATCACCTCAGCGGCCAGCCCAGCCGCCGCTGCCCCACACCCTGGCCCCACCCTCACGTCTGAGGAGACCCCCGTGGCCACACAGTGCCGCCGGGCCCGCCTCCCCGACCCGCCTGGGCCTCCCTGAGGGTCCCCTACGCCTCACCCCCATCCTCTGTCTCTCTGTCCCTCCTCCCTCCATCCCTCCACCTGCACAGCGACCTCCACCCCACGTCCTCCGCGACGCTCCTCTGAGGGCCTCGCGCGGGAGAGGAGCTCGCCAGCCTCGCCTGGGCGGGGGCGTTGCTGATTGGCCGGCGCAGCGCGCATGCGGGAGGCGGGGCCTCGGCCGAGACACGCCCCCTGGACCAAACTGCCCCCTCCGGGCGCGCTGGTGCCGAGCATCGAGCATCGAGCGAGCATCGGGCATCGAGCGAGCATCGGGCATCGAGCGAGCATCGGGCATCGAGCGAGCATCGAGCGAGCATCGAGCATCGAGCGAGCATCGAGCGAGCAGCGAGCATCGAGCGAGCATCGAGCGAGCAGCGAGCATCGAGCGAGCAGCGAGCATCGAGCGAGCATCGAGCGAGCAGCGAGCATCGAGCGAGCATCGAGCATCGAGCGAGCAGCGAGCATCGAGCGAGCATCGAGGCCCCGGCTGGGCGGCTCCGGTTCGACCATATTCAAGGACGTTTCACGGGTCCTCTTCCTGGGAAATCACAAAAGGATACGGCAGTGTGGAACCACGTAGGTGCTCAAGCCTCCACCTTCCCGACGTGGGACACTTTTCACAGTTCCTGCGCAGTCTCCTCCCGGGGCCCTTCCCACCCACTGCCTCCGCTCGCAGAGGAAGAGCCATCCTGCTGCGTGTCCTGTGTCAACCAACCCCCTCCGTTTTCTACGGTTCGTTTTCTGGGTGGTCGGCTGGTCGGGGTTTGCTTCGTCTTAGAGACCCGTGTGCGTATCCTTGGCTGTCCTGGCCTCCTGCTGTGTTGCCTGGGGAGTACAATAAACTGTACCGCCTCCTGCCTGGTGTTCCGCCGCTTCCTTTTTCACCCAACATTGCGCCCTGACGGTGCCTGTACTATATTCCGCAGAGCCGTCCTGCTTTCGTCTTCCCTGCTGGAGCGCACACCACTGTGGAACCACTCCTCAACTCGTTCATCCGTTTTCTTGTCCGTGGACGTGTGGATACTTCCCACTGTAGAGCCCTTACAAGCAGGGACGCTGGCAATATTCCGGGGTCTGGCACACGTGCGATTGTGTTCTGCTGCGTTTAAAGGAGCCCAGGAGTTTCGAGGAGTTGATGACCTATTGCTAGGTCATAGGCTAGGTGAGTATTCGGTATAGCCAAATTGTTTCCAACTTATGACTCCCACCAGCCGGTTGGGTACTAACTGCTCCATATTCTCACCAGATTGCATTATAATCTCACCGGATTACATCTGGGCTTGGGGTGGTGGTCTTTTTTTTTTTTTTTTTTTTTGCATTTCTCCATCCACTAAGGAGATTGAGCTCCTTTATATGCTTATTGTCCATTTCAATTTCCTTTTCCGTGGCATCATCTTATGCGGGTGTCATGACCTTTCTACAAATGGGTAGGATGACTTTCTTACAGTTTTGTAGAAGCATTTCATATATTCCAGATATCTTTCTTTTTTAATTTAAATTCAACTAGCCAACATATAGTACATCATTAGTTTTGATATAATGTTCAATGATTCATTAGTCGAGTATAACACCCAGTGTTCATCACATCACGTGCCCTCCTTAAAGCCCATCACCCAGTTACCCCCTCCCCCCACCCACCTCCCTCTCCTAAACCCTCCGTTTGTTTCCCCGAGTCAAGAGTCTCTCATGGTTTGTCTCCCTCTCTGATTTCTTCCCATTCAGTTTTCCCTCCCTTCCCCTGTTGTCCTCTGCACTATTCCTTATATTCCACATATGAGTGAAACCATATGATAATTGTCTTTCTCTGGTTGACTTATTTCACTTAGCATAATTCCCTCCAATTTCCATCCATGTCGAAGGAAATGGTAGATATTCATCCTTTCTGACGGCTAAGTAATATTCCATTGTATATATATGAACCACATCTTCTTTATCCAGATATCAATCTTTACAACAGTGTTTCCCCTCTGCCTTTTAATTGCAATAAAATACAAATAACACAAATTTTACCTTTTAAGCCATGTTCAGATATACAGCTCTGTGGCATTAAGTACATTCCCATTGTTGTACAACCATCACTGCCATCCATCTCTAAAACTTTTTCATCTTTCTGAACTGAAACTCTGTACCCATTAAACACCTATTCCCCATTCCCTCCTCCTCCCAACCCCCAGGAACCACCACTATACGCTCTTTCTCTATGAATTTGGATACCTCATACATACAGTATTTGTCCTTCTGTGACTGGCATATTTCACTGAGCATGATGTCTTCAAGATTCATCCATATTGTAGCATGTCTCAGTTTTTCTTTCCTTTTTAAAGGACAAATAATGATCCATTGTAGGTATATGCCACTTTTTTTTTTTTTTTTTTTCTTTTTGGCCCATTCATCTGTTGATGGACACTTAGGTTACTTCCACTTTTATCTATTGTGAATAATGCTATATGAACACAGGTACACAAATACCTGTTCGACTCTGTCCTTTCGCTTCTTTTGGGTATATACCCAGAAGCGGAACTGCTGGATCGTACCGTAGTTCTCCTGTTTAGCTTTTGAGGTTCCTCCGTATTGTTTTCCATGGCGGCTGCACCAGTTTACAATCCCACCAACAGTTGCACAATGGTTCCCTTTTCTCACATCCTTGCCAACAACGGTTCTCTTGTTTGTTTGTTTTTTTGGGGGGGGGGGTGGCCATTCTTAAAGGTGTGACTTACCCGCAATGCTAGGCTTACAACGGACAGTGGGATGACACAAATAAGGGGCATAAGTAGTATAGAACAAATTGGTATGCATTGCTTAAGTAAGTTGACTTTATAATGAAATAATGTGATAAGAAGTCCGTGGGTCTTTTTCTGTGAAAATCTTCCTGTGTGTCAAAAGGGATGCTGCCCATTCACAGCAGTCACCAGCAAGAGGTGATCAGGAGACTCTCCACTGTGACAATTGGTAATACAAGGTGAAAACACTAGATGATACATATACATCTCTTTCTTAGAAGAGACACCAGGAAATAGTGCACTAAGCAGAAAAGTTAAGCTCTTTCTTCTTGCCCTTGTAGCTCCCTCTCTGCCTGAATCTTTTTTTTTTTTTTTTTAAGATTTATTTATTTATTTGAGAGACAGAGAGAGAACAAGAGAAAGAGCAGGAGGGGCAGGGGGAGAGGGAGAGAGAATCTCAAGCAGACTCTGCACTGAGCCCAGAGCCTGATGCAGGGCTCGATCTCACGACCCTGAGATCACAACCTGAGTCAAAACCTAGAGTCGGTCGCTTAACTGACTGTACCACCCAGGCACCCCAAAGATATATTTATCTATTTGAGAGAGAGAGAGAGGGAGGGAGAGAGAGAGAGAGACGGAGGGAGGGAGGGAGAGAGAGAGAGAGAGAGAGCACACAAGCAGGGGTGGGGGCAGGGGGAGAGACAGAGAGAATCTCAAGGGGGACTCCCCGCTGAGTGCAGAGCCTGATTTGGGGCTTGATCTCACGACCGGAGCCCAAATCAAGAGTCGGTCGCTTAACCAACTGAGACACCCAGGCGCCCCTCTTCTCTGCCTGAACCTTTAAGAACTTTCCGCCATTGGCTCATTTCCAGCTTTGCCTTGCCATGTCTACTGATTCTCTTTATCCCCACATCATTGCTGCATAGGAGAAATTGTAGCTCCCCAAAAATGTCTGGAAATGATACATGACAGGAGAAACTCAAAACCATGGATGGTTATCAGAGGGAAGGCCTTAGCCCATTTTTTACATTGATCTAAATTCTACAATAATTGCAGCTACTGCCTATTGAACACTGGCCTATCTCAGGCAGGGTGCCAAGTGCTTCACATGCATAATCTCCGCATCCCATCAGGAGATCCTTAATATCTGGGGTCTCTCTCTCTCTATAATGTTACGATTGAGCTGTGGGTTCAGGTGTTATTAGTCTTCCTCGTTCTTTACAAAGTTCCCTGTTACTAGGGTGATGATATAATGTATCATGCAAATGGAGACAAGTTTGAGAGTGAAGGAGGGTGTGGTAGAGGACAGCCAATGTAAACCAGGACTTGCCCCCAGGAGAACCATAGTGTATGCTCACCCCTCACATCAACCTCCATGTAATAGATTTGGCAGCCATTGAGGGTTATTATGTAGATCCATTAATTCATGAGGTGTTGTAAAATGGTAATTTTCTAACTTTATTATTCTTGCTGCATTTATTGGCTGGAATTCTCCCATGAAGGATAACTACAAACTACTTTGTTTTCCTGATATAGAATTCACACAAGAAAGGCAGAATTAATTGCTTTATCCTTTCCCTTTCAGAGTGATGGGTTGCTGTCTTCTGGTCTCCTCAAGTGAACAAGGATCATTTGGGGACTTTTTCAGTATTGCAATGAACTCATGGGTATTAATGTATTGGTGATTCAAACCATTGCAGTTATTATTCCTTCTGATGCTCACACTGTTTGACATTTGGACATTGGGAGCCCCTTCGCATGCCTCTGGTGTCTTTTTGACATAACCTCAACGTGTATCCTAACTTTTGGATACTCCAAGATGTTCCACACTTATCGTGTCCTTATTCTGCCCCGGATCTGAAACGAGCCATTTCTCCAAGGACCTCTGGTTTCTTCCAGAGATCATAATGTGGGCACTAAAGGTTCTCGTTGTTGCAACCGGTAATGTTCATTGCTTCCAGGTCTTTGCAGTGGACGGAGCTAGGAAATACATTTCTTTGAGGGTCCATACTGACAATCAGAGTTCATGCTGAATGAGTCCATGCACATACTCAATGAGTTCCTGCCATTTCCATTCAAATTTAAGATTAATTTGGTCTTATATTTGTGTCTTTTGTTTTAAACCGAAATTCCTGAATTCTTTTTTTAATTTTTTTATTACGTTCAGTTAACCACCATATAGAAATTCCTGAATTCTAATGATATTAATATAATTACTTACCCCCCTTTCTGTGTGTGTGTGTGTGCGCGCGCGTGTGTGTGTATGCGCCTGTGTATGTATGGTGTTTTGCAATAACAAAGGCAATATTACTACTAGCAATATGATTTCTTAATGTAGCTCAAGATGCCTTGTTCTTTTTTATCCTTAAGATATATCCCATTGGATATACACAGTAACATTGCAATATATATATATATAAAGATTATATTTCTTTATTTGAGTGAGAGAGACAGAGAGAGCATGAGCAGGGGGAGGAGCAGAGGGAGAGGGAGAAGCAGACTCCCTACCGAGCGGGGAGCCTGACACGGGGCCAGATCCCGTGACCCCGAGATCATGACCTGAGCCGAAGTCAGACACTCAACCGACTGAGCCACCCAGGCATCCCTAAGATTGCTATATTTTTAAGTCATTTGAAATAGTTCTGTATTCTGTAGGGTTAAACCGCCAATTTGACATATACAGCTTGCACAACTATGTCGTGTGATTTATTATTTATTTATTTTAAGAGCTTGCCCTTTAAATTGTTTCGTAATTTCATGAAACCCTTATGGATTCTAAAACAAAACTAAAAAGCAGGATACTTAAATAAATAAAATCTTTTTAAAAAAGTAGGTAGATATCAGTACAAATGTGAATCTGTTACCTCGAATTAGATCACATAAACCGCAAAACATTACTTAATAACTATTTTTAACCATATTCCTCAACCGCTAGCTAGAGATTGTTTTAGGCTGATCAGTTGGTGTTTTTCTGGATGTAGTTAGTGAAAACTTTCATAAATGTACAGTTGAAATCTGCCCCTGTACTAGTTAATGCTAGTCTGGAGATAAGTCATGTCCTATTTCTTATGCTCGATTCCAAGCAGCAAGGGTCTTGTGTAATTCAGAAGAGTAAACAGTGCTTGCAACTCACCTTTTAAAATCCCAACCAGTCATTCTAAGGTCAAACCCAATGTTAACATTATTATGTAGTATATATCGTTCTTTACGTGTGACTACTTATTTTTTTATTTTATGGGGGCGGTGGGGCAGAGGGAGAGGGAGAGAGAGAATCTTAAGCAGGCTCCACACCCAGCGTGGAGCCCGACGTGGGGCTCGATCTCACGACCGTGAGACCATGACCTGAGCCGAAATCAAGAGTTGGAGGCGCTCCTACGTGT